AAAAAAAAAAGAGTGGTGATTTATTCGTGTGGGCTCATCAACTTTGGGTCAGGGAAAAAATATTGCTGGCTGACTTTACCCACAGGTATAATTAACCCAGTTCTCCATCTCTCCAAAAGAAAGAGCTCTACAGCCAAAGAATTTGTTAGGCTTCCCCACCAAAAAGAAAAAAAAATTCCCCAAACTTTTCACCAGAAGTCATCAATAAAATGTCCAAAAAAACTGAAAAACAAGTCCCCAGATGTATTTGCAAATGTAGCTACAGAATTTCTGCTTTTAAAGTAGTCCCTGCTCTTCCAACCATTTCCCACTGGTTGGAAGGAGGTAAATGAGTAATTTGTAGGCCAACTCGTTTCCTGGGGAGCTTTACCCAATCAGCCTCAAGACCTTCCAGCTCCCCAACCCATGGAAGGACAGGGTTCCTGTCGTGAGGAAGCTTCTCTGGCATTGCCAATTGCCGCCAAGGGTCTTTCTTTGAATCCCTGCAAATGCTTGTGGCAAAGTAAAAGGGACAGCATCAAACAGATTCCATACTCCTGGGCAGCCATGCCTGTTTCAACCAGTTACGGTCAGCCAGGTGCTTAGTATCTAGTTGCACAATAAACATTTATTGAGCAGCTACTATGTGCCAGGCCCTGTGCTGGGCTCTGGAGTATAAAGAAGGCTGTAAGGTGTCCTGTAGAGATGGAGTTTAAGCCTTTCTGTGAGGACCCCAAGCTCTTCCTTGAGAGAGGTCTCCCCCTTCCATGCGGTCTTGGTAGGACTGTCAATCATGTGCCCTGCTCCTTCCTGTCCCGCCTCCGTGTGTGCACGTGACCCAAGCTGGTCAATCAGGGTTTTCTCAGAGATTTCGTGCATCTATCACAGAGGGAGAGGATCATGCCTCCTTTTGGATCACAAACTTTAAATTTATGGGCTTATGTGCCTGAGTTTGTCTTTTCCAACACATGGAAGCCTGTGTGCTATAGAAAGCCAAAATCCGAGGGAAATAGAGGGAAGAGATTGGTAGTAGGGAGTGTTTTGATCTCACTTAAGCTCCTGTATCTGGCCATGCCTGAAGCTAGTGGGCTTTTAAATTTCCAAGAAGATGAGCCAATAAATGCTTATTTTTTTTAATTTATTTTTTTTGCTTAAGCTAATTTGTTTATTGGCACTTGCATTTGAAGGAGTCCTGGAAAGTCAGGGCATAAATGGCTTATAAATAGAAAAAAAATTATAAATGTGGTTGCATCCTATTTCCAGTTTAAAACTGGGGTGGATTGAAAAATGACCACAAATGCTTTGCAGCTTCTGCCATCAAGCAGAATTGACTTCCCCATTCCCTAAGTCGGGGCCGGTCCTGTGTCTTGCTTTGACCAATAAAATAAGGCAGAAGTGATGTGCAGCAATCTCCAGGCAAGTTTTTAAAAGGCTATACGGCTTCTGTTCTGGCCCTCTGGGAAGCCTGGGGCCACTATGCTGTGAAGCAGCCCCAGACGATAAACCATGTGTGGAGAGAGGCCTATCACTCCAGGCATGCTGGCTGAGGTCCCAGACATGGGAATGAGGCCATCTGAGACCACTGGCTGGGCCACGCCACTGGTTGACTATACAGTTGCATGAGCGAAGCCAGGGGACACCGGCAGAAGAACATTCCAGGTCAACCTGTAGATTCTGGGAAGTAATAAATTGCTGTTTTTTTGGTTTTGGTTTTTTTTTTTTTTTTGAGTAGGCTTCACACCCCACATGGGGCTTGAACTCATGACCCTGAGATCAAGAGTCACATGCTCTACCGACTGAGCCAGCCAGGTGCCCAATAAATTGCCATTTTAAGCCACTAAGTTTTGGGGTGGCTTGTGCACAGCAAGAGAAAACTGATAACAGAGTCTGAGCCTGGCTTCTCGCCTCACTGCAGTACTTCTCCAAGGTTTGGTCCTGGGACACCTGCCACCTGAAGTCGCAGATTCCCACTCCCAGTCTGGACCCCACGTGGTTCTGCTCCTCACAGACTCAGGGAATTGCTGCAGGCTCAGGCCCCGGTCTTTAAGGAAAGTAAGATATCGCAGGACTGCTTCTTTTAGGATAATTTCAGGTTGTGTCTATGTAGGGAGAAATCAACCTGGACCCTTCCCAGCATGGCTTGAATTCACCTGCTCTGGCTCCCATTCCCATTTCATTCTAAACCTCTCTGGTTCTTCAACAAACCTCTGTCTTCCCTCAGTCGTCAACTTCATTGCTCACTACTTCCTGCCAGGAAACGTGTTTTCCCCACCACTGTGCTGCCGCTCATGGTCGACCAAGCAGTTACTGTGTGGGAGCCAGGAGCACCAGCTTGCAAATTAACCAGGCCTAGCTTTGAATCCCAGCTTTGCCCCTCACGCTGTGCAAACTTGGACCAGTTACTGAACCTCTCTGAGCTTCGGCTCCCTCCTCTGTAAAGTGAGGGTGGTAACATTTATTTTGAGGATGGTGAAGATTACTGAGCTAATTGAATGCCAAGGGCCCAGGACACAGTCCAGCACACAGTAGGTACTCAATACTTTGTGCTTGTAGATGTTGTTATTTGGGATAAAATGAGCAGTTACCAAACCTTTGGTTGAGTGTCCCAGGAGTAAAAGGTTGGTTTCTTGGAAGTAGTAAAAAAAAAAGGACCACAGAGAACAAGAGACAATCCCTCTGCCCAGTCTCTCTTGCTGCTGTAGACGCCTCACCTTATCCTGCTGCGCTGGGTCCTGGTCCACGTAAATATCCCTGGAAGGTCCTGCCCCGGAAATTCCTTCGGCCACTGACTGTTCTGAAAGCTCCACAGCATTGGTCCACACTAACGCCAAGATCAACAGAGAGCACACAGGACATTGTGAGTGACCCTGAGGTCTAGAAGGATCTTTTTAGACCACCTTCTTAACTCTTTTCCTGCTGTTATTAAAAATGGTAAAGCGGTGTCTACGTTCATGGCAAAGCGATGAAGAAGGCATTACAGAAGTATCAGAAAGGGAAAGAACTGCCTCGTCCCTCTTCTCCAGGGTTAGCCGTGCTGATTCGCTTTGGTGCGCCCCTTTCTAGGCTTTTTGCTATTCCATGTAAGAGCTGGTGACCTTGGGCAGGTCATTTACTCTCTAAGTCTTGGTTATATAACTTACATGTTACAGTCTCTGTTATAAAGGACACTTTGAGGATTAAATGAAGTAGTAGAGCAGGGGTTGGCAAACTATGGCACTAGGGACAAATCTGGCCTCCCAACTGTTTTTGTAAATAAAGTTTTATTGAAACACATCCACGATCATTCATTTGCATATTGTCTATGGCTGCTTTCCAGCTACAAAGGCTAGGTTGAGTAGTTGTGACAGAGACCATATAGCCCACAGAGCCTAAAATATTTACAGAAAAAGCTTCTCTTTACAGGAGTTTCCTACCCCTGAGCACTATATTAACATTAAGCATGAAATGTTGGCGATTTTTATTGCAATTATATCTTAAAAAAAACAAAAGTGGATTTCTATTGCAGAGATTTTTTCCCTGGCTTGCTTTTCCACTTGACAATATATCAGAAACATCTTCCTATGTCAATATTTGTAGCTATATGCTATGGTGTGTGTGTTTTTTTTTCTATAACCAGAAGTTTGTACATTTTAATCCCCTTCATTATTTATACTGTGTTCTGTTTTTTTTAAGATTTTATTTTTATTTTTTAAAAAGATTTTAGTTATTTATTTGAGAGATCGAGAGCAAGAGAGAGCGAGCACAAACTGTGGGGGAGGCAGAGGGAGAGGGAGAGGGAGAAGCAGACTTCCCGCTGAGCAGGGAGCCCCATGGGAGGCTGGATCCCAGGACCCCGGGATTATGACCTGAGCCAAAGGCAGATGCTCAACCGACTGAGCCACCCGGGTATCCCAAGATTTTATTTTTAAGCAATCTCTGCACACAGCTTAGGGCTCAAACCCATGACCCTGAGATCAAGAATTGCAGGCTCCACTGACTGAGCCAGCCAGGCACCCCTATGCTGTATTTTTTTAATCGTAGTGTTGCAGTCCATCGTACAAATGTGCCAAACATATTTAACTCGGATCTGCTTGATAGACATTCAGGATTTCCTGATTTTTTTTTTTTTTTTTTGCTTATTTCCCCACAATATTACAAGGGTTGTTCATGACTTTCGGGAGTCCTGGCATCGTTATGTTTGGAGGCCCCACTCTGTATCGCATCAAACACACCATGATCCACTCACATTAACACTGAATACATTTTTTGGGGGGGGTGTACAAACTTTTGAAAAGATTTCTATATTTCTGTTTTTGAGATCATTTGGCTCTAAGCGGCATGTTTTAAATTTCCAACTGACTGATTTCTGGGCAATCATTGCACATTCTTGTCTTCTTGTGAAGTGAGAAATTGAACCAATTGTTTCCGAAGGCTATGAAACATTAATGAATGTTAACATTAACAATTAATGAAGTACACACCGTCACATTTGTGGACATTTACTCAATCATTTATTCCCTTTGATTCCGCATTTTTTATTTATGCATTTCAGAGCCAACGATTTTCTCCCCCAGGTCTCGACTGTGTTTGTGGACTCTAGAAGCACGAGTGGACATGGTCAAAGGCCTGTGGTGCCTGGCGAATGTGTGGCCTTGCATGTTGGATGAGTGGCCTCAGCCAAAGTGTTTCCTGGGCACATGGAAGGGAAGGGGCCTGGGCTCCCAACCACCCTCCCTGCATCTGCACCAGAACAGGCTGGGATAGGCCTCCTGGTGTAGCTGGACCTTGGGTCACATCCCCTCCCTGGCTAACACCTGCCATCACTTCCCTCTTTTTATAGGGTCTTTTTACAGGGTCTCAGGCCACGTTCCTCCGGGACTGCACTCTTCAGCCACACTGCCCAACGTCTCCCACTCGTCCTACCCACCACCCCCCCTTGCCACTCACTGTCCCTTCCACCTGGAATGCTGTTCCCTCCCCTCTGCACTTTGTGAAGGTCACTTGCCTTTCAGTGCTTGGCTTGAGTGTCACTCCCTCGGGGACACCTTCCTGATCCCCCAACTAAGTCGGGGCCTTATAGTTACAAGCCAATGGGTACTGGGCATCTCTGCTGACGAGTGTTATGGTTACCATTTTATAGATGTTGTTCTGTGATCCTTTTGTTAATGTCGGTCTCCCTGACTGAATGGTAAGTTCTGTGAGATTGGGGACCATGTCTCAGTTTGTGCCCCTTAAAATGAATTGGTTAATCCCATCTGACAGAGGTATAAACGGGCACAGAGAGAGAGAACCTCTGCCCAAGCTCCCAGAGCTGGAAAGAGGCCAAGCCCTCACCTGTCTCCATTCTGTGATGCGCTCATGGAAAGGGAAAGGTGCTCGGGAGTATTGTCTAAGAACAAAAAGCTCAGGGCCTGGCCCACTCTTAACCAATAACTCACGAAAGGCTTGTTGGCCACCAGTGCCTTCTATAAGTCAATGCTGGGGCTCACAAAGTCCGCTGTGAGGCAGGTGCTATTGCAGCCATGTTGAGAAGCCCAGGTGCAGAGAGATGGAGGCCACGCCATCTGGTAAGGGGCAGTCAGGTCTGACCCAGGCGGTTTGGCTCCAGAACCGGCGCACACACCCGCAGGTAGGAGGTCCTCCCCGGTGGTGAACACGTGAATGAGGCTGTGAGTGAGGAATTTAGGAGCTGGTTCACTGTGACAAACACGGCAACGAGGAGCAGTTTTGCATGGACTGTGTCCCATGGAGTGTCTCCCTTCCTGTTGATTGCCAAGGACTGGATTTGGGATTCACTTGATGGAGTTTCAGCCACTGCCTGATGAAACCGGTAAAGTGACCAACTGTCCTGGTTTGCCGGGCACTGCGGGGCTTCCTGGGAGGGGGGACTTTCTGTACCAAAGCTGGCAAAGACCCAGGCAAACCAGGACCAGTTGGTCTCCCTAGAAATAGTCGAGAAAAGAAAGCTCCCTATTTACCCACCTACACACCCACTTGGTTTTCTGTGTCCATGCTGGAGGCCAACAGCGCTATGGACAGAAAAGGCTTAGGGAAGAAGTCCTGCTGGGTGTGCTGGCCTCAAAGCTTGGACACAGGTGTGCTCTCGCCACCCCTGAGCATGGGCCTCCCATGTTCTGTCAGCATTCTGCATGTGGGGAGCAGGCCCGGGGCCCAAAGCACCAAGATGGAGACTCCCTCTCTTTGTGGAATACTCTTCCTGCTTCCTCCCCAGGAATTCCGGAAGGTGGCTGCCGCTAACTGGGGGGAAGGGCAAGTGCGGAACAGAATAAGGGGCAAGAGAAGGGCTTCCTGGGGAATGTCACTGAGCAGCGCTGTCTTATAGAAAACTGATGGGAGCTACATAAGAGAATTTAAACTCCTCTAGCACTAGTCACATTAAAAAGGTAAAGAGATGAAACTGATTCTGAAATGTATTTTATTTAACCCAGTACATTAAAACATCACCATTTCCACACGTAATCAAGACCAAAAATGATGGAGGTGTTTTACATTCTTTTTCTTTTGGGCACCAAGTCTTTGAAATCCAGGGTTCCTTTTATACTTCTAACATCCCTCGATTTGGGAGCTGCATTTTCAACAGGAAGACTTGATCTGTGTTTGGGCTTCCCCAAAACTTACTGTTGGGAAGAAGCAGATTTGCATACTCAAGATGTTCTGGGCATACTTTAAACCTTCCAATAACTGAATCAGGTATCGGTTTTGAAATTTAAATTAATGCAAATTAAACATTTTGTTCCTCTGTCCCATTAGCCGCCTTAGCTCAGTCCCTGTGTGGCTGGTGGCTACCCCATCAGAAAGCACATGCCTGGAACATTCTCCCCTTTTGTTCTCCTTCTTTACTTGATATCTCCTTTCCTGCCAACATCTATAACTGGATTTTTTTTTTTTAAAGGAATATGGGAGAAGTGAGATTTTAAAAAAATAATAATTCTATGGCTCGGGCTTTGATTATAACATCCAGCCGAGTTCTGGAGGCCCCTGGGGCACGTTAGTGGCTGTCCCAAGGCCTGTGGCTTATTTTTTCAATATTCAGCAGAGTCTATTTGATGCTCTGTATGTGCAGTTTGTTTACCTTTCAACCTAGGGGCAGTCAGTTGCCCTAATCAGGAGTCCCCACGCCTGGGGTAGCCGGGCGGCATTACATGGACAGGCCACAGTCCAGAGACGGCTCTGACACCTGAGGCTTTCCTAATTAGCAAACTGAAGGCCAGAGATGGGTTTTTATTGGTGAAATTGGTGGCCCATGACCTTGTATGCTCTTTGTTAGAAACAGGCTCCCAGTGGTCAGACGGAGGAAGGAACTGCCTGAGGGTCAGCCAAAGTACTGGGGAGCCCCTCCCTTGTGCTCCCCAGGGGGAACCTGTGTTCCAGTCTTGGTTTAGATCTCTGCCATCTGATGCCATCTCTGGGAGTAACTCCAGATGCCCCTGTGACCTTGTCCTGGCTGCCTTGAGTGAGCCTCTTCTACTAGGTGACAGCCGGAGCCCTTAAAGGACAGAGAGCCTGGACTTGATCAAACCCACAAGACGGGCTGAATGAGGCTTGGGAGCCCTTTGCTATTGAAGGCATGTTTACTGGAAGTCTGCATGGGGGTAGAATTTATCTGAGACTCGCTTTCCTTATACCCAGGCAGGGAGGTGCTGGAGCAGTTTCCCCCACTGGCCCCAAACGTCTTTACTGGCTCCTGTTACATTTCAAAGAGAACCCAAGGGCCATGTGTGACCAAACTGGCTTAACTCGGTTCAAGACAAACCCTCTAGCTGCTGGATCATTTGGAGGTCCCAGTGGGGAGGACCCCGAGGGAGGGATGGAATGGCTGGGGCAGTGGGATATGGCAGGAGTGGGAGACAGAGGGGCTTTAGGAAGTGTCAAGGTACCACTATTTGCCAAATGAGAGAAGTTGCTTCAATATCTTAACAACTGTCTGGCTCTCCTGGAACTTATCAGATAATTATCAGCTCTCACCAGGGACAGCATGTGTGTACCCGCATTGTGTCTTTAGGATTTGGACTGCGTGCCTTTCATTGTGTGGTGGCCAGCCTCCAAGATGGCACCAATGGTTCATATCTCCTGGTATTCACACCCTTGGATTGTCCTCTCCAACAGTGGATGGACTTTGCCATGGTCAACTCAGCGGCCATGATGAAATACCATAGACTGGAGCAGCTTAAGCAATGGAATGATAGTCCTTACAGCCTGGAGGCTGGGAGTCCAAGATCAAGATGCCATCAGGGTTGGTTTCTCCTGAGGCCCCTCTTCGTGGCTTGTAGATGGCTACTTTCTTTCTGCATCTTCACACGGCCTTTCCTCCGTGTGTAGGCATCCCTGGTCAGTCTGTCTGTCTGTCTTTCTCTTCTTATAAGGATCCCTGTGATGTGGTGGCAGGAAGTCTTATAGCACATTGCCTGCGGTGATGTGGAAAGTAGAGAATGTTCCTAATGAACTGGGTGATGGAGCCCAAGCGGAGTGCCACCTGACTCCTTTCTGGCACTTACTGTGAATGCGGGAGGGGACAGAAGCTAATGGAAGGACTGTTGAACCACAAGGAGCTGGGACTCAATTGGGCTTGAAGATTCCCTGCCTCTCCACATGGCAAAAGAAATGCAAGACATAGGTTCTGGGCAAAGGTCAAATCCAGGGCACTCTCAGGAAAACATGCTCCAAAGATGAAGCTGAGTGTAAGACTGTAATATCCTTTGTCAAGAATGCAGAACAATCTGAGTCAGTGTCTCAGAGAATGATCTGGGCAAAGCATAGGGCTTCTAAGAAGTGTTGTCCCTCCCACTCTTGGCAGAAGCCCAGGGCAGAGGAGGGCTTGTGTCAAAGGAATACGTGGGCATGGCTTTTGCCTAGTAGGGTGAACCCCAATAAGGAACACTACCGATGTGGACTGACGGAGGCAGAGACCCACAAAAGCAAAAGAAGCCAATGAACCCCACACATCTATAGGCAGGTAGCTGACTATAAAACTATGCAGTTGAAAACATGTGATGCCCTTCATGGAAAAGGTAGGAGGACTCAAAGGGCTGATCCAAGGAACCAGAGGGCAGAGGCGAGAGCCGTGGAGGGTCATTTCTGGGCAAGAATAGGTCTAAGTCTTAATCAGGGAACTTCCAACATTTTCCTGGCTGGATTTCAGAATTGCTTTGGGCCAAGGACTCCTGTGTGTTTGTTTTTCCCTTTTGAACAGAAGGCGTGTCCACAGCAGTATGCTACGTCTGTCCCACCAGTGTATGTGGGGTGTGTGAGGGACAGATGACCCGTCTCTTTAGTTCAAAGGTCTTCAGATTGCTGGAAATGGTACTTGAGAAGCTGAACTTAAGGAACTACACCTAGTGAGCCCCATCTGTACCTGGACTTGATTTAGATGATTAGATTCTGGAATTTAGGCTGATGCTGGAATGGGGTCAGACTTTGGGGGAACTTGGGAGAGGGTGAGGGAGTGGTACAAGTGAGGCGGGGGGTGAATCCTTGAGGACCAAAAGGCAGACTGTGGTAGCCAGCCTCTTAGATAGGGCTGCCAGTAACACTTGCCTCCTGGTATTCAGGTCTATGGGCTGTCTTCTCCCAACCTGGACAGAGCTGACTTGTGTAATGACAGAGTAGCTTCGGAGGCTTGTCCTGAGAGATGCTGTAGTTTCCATCTTGCTTTCTTGGATCACTTGCTCAGGAAGAGCCATCTGCTATTCCATGAGGATTCTCCAGCAACTCTCTGGATAGGTCCCTATGGTGAGGACGTGGGGCCTCCTGCCAACAGCCATGTGAGCGCACCATCTTGGAAGCAGATTCTCCAGCCCCCGTCAAGCCTTCAGAAGACTGCAGTCCTGGCCAACAGCTCACCTGCAACTTATAAGTGATCCTGAGCCACCCTGCTAAGCTGCTCCCAAATTCCTGACCCACCGAAACTGTATCAGATAATACATGTTTGGGGTTTTGTGTGTGTGTGTGTGTGTGTGTGTGTGCGTGTGTCTGTGTTTGCTTTAGGCCACTAAATTTTGGGAGAATTTGTCATGCAGCAATTGATAACTTATATATGTTGCAGGTTAATTTTACATCAAAAAGACAAAAACTATTGAACTCTGGTTACTGTTGCATATATTAACATATTAAGGGGGAAGACTACAGATGTGTGCAATTTATTTTGAAACATATCAAAAAAATAAGATGGGTTAATGAATGGGTAGAAGGATGGTTAGACAGATATGCAATAGAGTATAGCAAGATGGTTTTTTAAAAATATTTTATGTATTTATTTGACAGAGATAGAGACAGCCAAAGAGGGAACACAAGCAGGGGGGGTGGGAGAGGGAGAAGCAGGCTTCCCGCCAAGCAGGGTGCCCAATGTGGGGCTCGATCCCAGGACCCTTGGATCATGAAATGAGCTGAAGGCAGGTGCTTAATGACTGAGCCACCCAGGTGCCCCGAATATAGCAAAATGTTAATGATGCAGTTAGGCAGGATGTTCTCTGTCAAATTCTTTTTACTTTGCCGTGTTTGAAAATTTTCATATTTATAAAATATAGGGGGAAATGGCTGAGTAGTTTCATTTGCTGTTGATGGCACGTAAGGGTTCCTCTGATGATGAAGATGAAGATGATATAACTGCATTTCATTTACTCCTCTGTTTGTATATTTCACAACAATGGCTGAGGGAGGTGATTAGGTGAACGGTCCTGAGTGACACCAGTGGAGGATGTGAAGCCACAGAGACACCTGGGAACTCCAAGGGGTCTGGGGCTGGGATGCGGTGGACAGAGGATGGGATCTTCACATCACAGGCATGGAGGAAACCGGAATCATGCCAGGGACTAAATCAAACCTGCTGGTGAGGCCAAGAGGACAGTGACAGACAGGAAGTCCCCTCCCCAAATGCCACGAGACCTTCCGGGGAAGGAGGTGAGGGAAGGAAACCGGGAAGGCTGGTCCCCAGAGTGACCGGGCTGTGAGTGACAGCGACAGTGACTGAGATAACCAGCCTTAAATTTGACTGAAAAATGTTAGATTGGACTAGAATTGATTATGTCACCTCTGGGGGGTAATTTTCCTCGATAAGCCTCAGCCTCCTCTCACCTGTAAAATGATAATAAAATGTTTAAAAACCTCCTAAGGCTGTTGTGGCCAAGGGGGATTTCAGGTGCCAATATTTCTGCACATGTGAGTCAAAGCTGTAAGTTTACAGTCCTGCTACACATTCATATATAAGCACACACACACACTGACACACACCCACATCCACACACTCGCCACAGGGACACTGATGGGTGCCAATGTGCAGAGCACGAAGTCTGAAGGGATATGCCCCAAAAAGTCAACAGGGGATATTGGGTGATGAGGGTGACAAATGGTCTTTAACTATTTTCTTATGTTCTCTTTATCCCTGATTTTTTTTTTTTTTTAAGTAGGCTCCACCCTGGAGTTCTGCCACGTGGGGCTTGAACCCACCACCCTGAGATCAAGACCTGAGCTGAGAGCTCAACCGACGGAACCACCCAGGCAACCCTAACCCCGATTTTCTCACAATTAAATGCATTCTACTTTTAGAATTGGAGAAAATAAGCAAAAATCAAGACCCACCCTTGTGGCTCTAAGCCCATCCCCAAAGCCACCAGGGGAAGCGCGCATGAATACCTTGCTTGATGATGGGAGGCCTGTGAGTGCCATGCACCACAAAGGAGAACATCTTCCCACCAGCACTCACAGGCCGCTTGTGGGAGGCAGGTGGGCCCATGGTGGGTCTGGGAAACCCCTGGGACCAACTCCTCTGCACTGGTGGTGGCCAGAGGCCTGGGCGGAAGGGCATCCGTGGTGGTGAGGGTGACTGTTTCGACTGCTGTGTGGCTCGAGGTGGCTGTGGTCTTGGCCAAGGTGCCGAACCACTCATCCATGGGAAGGAGACCTGCAGGGGCAGACAAGAGGGTCAGAGGCGGTTCTGATCTGCCGGGGGGTGGTCTCCACTCTTGTCCCAGCCCTATAATTGCTGCCCTAGGGCTCACCTTATAAGTCTCTTCCCCCAGGAAGTCCTCCCAGACTCTCCCCAAGTTTGGGATGGCGGTCCCCACCATGGGTCACATTGCACACTATCGTACCACCATTAATTGGGAGCAGCCTTCATGCCAGGCATCCTGGCAAGAGGTTCACTTGCATTGCCCTATTTAATACACCCAATACTCTTCTGTCACGAGACTGAGGCTGAGCGAGACCTCTTGACTTTCCAAGATCACAGATTTGCCGGTGAACCTCTGAGCTGGCAGAATGTCACCTCTAAAAGAAGAGGGCTTTTTATCTATCTTGCTCACCCCTGTATCCTCAGCATCTAGAATAAGTGCCTGGCACACACAGAGCAGACCCTCGAATACTGGGTGAAAGAATGAGTGAAGAGATCACTGAGATTCACACCCAGCTTTCTAGGACCCCCAGCCCGCTTTCTTTCCATCCACACTGCCCATCTCTTGGGCACTTCTACGCCATCTGTCCTCCGAAGCCGAGAGCTCTGGGGGATGACAGGAATCCCAACTGTCTCATTAACCTTTGATCCTCAATGTCTACCACACCTGATTCTTGGGAGATGCTCCGTAAATATCTACCAAGGGAATATTTCAGCATCTGACCCGTAGAAGATGTCTGCAGCCACTGTTATCGGGAAGCAAGCCCAACTCCATCTAACCTCGGACAAGCACATAGAGGGGCCGACACCTGGCTTGTGCCTGGGTTTAATGCCTCAGTGGTGGCTTCTCCCTGTGTCTATAGGTTGAACAATGACACTGGGGCGGGCTGTCATTTATTGCTCTTTCCTTATCCATTCCTCACAATAGCCCTTCAGGTCTCCTGATTCCTACTTTACAAACTGAGGCTTGGTGAGGTTAAGGAATTTACTCAGGCTCAGGTCGTGGTGGGGAGGGAACCGCGATGGAGGTCTGATGACCCCTGTCTCTGTTGCTGTCTCTCAACCCTCACTCCCTTCTCTTGGCAGAAAAAACACACTAAGTTCAAATGTTTGTCAGGACCTATGTAGGGCCACACATCTATTCCCCTTAGCTCACATTTCTCCTTCTGTAGACTGGAGAGAATATGAGTTCAGAGGCACACAGAGAGAAACAGATTCTTCCAAAATATGAGCACCAGCTTGCAGAGCTTCAGTTGGATTTTATTCAACAGGAAGGCTCTCCCGCTCACTCAGGCCCCTGAACCAAGCTTTTAGCTCCAGTCTTTCCCCAGCAAGTCAAGGATCCTGTGCGTTCCCTCTGAAGACTCTTTCTTGGAGCCGGTGAGAACAGTGTTCGGGGGGAAATCAAGCTCCAAGCTCCAACTGCCTGGAGACATCTGGCCCAGCATTCCTAATGTTACTGGCCCACTTTACATCTACTTCTGGAACGGCCTTGGCAGGGTGCCGGGAATCTGTTACCTTCTGCGCAGTTTCGAATTTCCCTCCACTGTCAACACCTTAGTCTCTCCATCTGTGCCTTCCTCCTGTCTTCACTCTCCGCGGCCGAGGTGTCCTGCTCCTGCCCTGACTTCTCCATCCACCCTGTCCCTTCCCTTCCCCTCCTCTTGCCTCATTCACTCCTATAACTTCCCCCGTCAGTTTAATAAATATTTATTGAACGAATGAGCCGAAGGTGACAAAGGGTAAATTCTAGTGGTTTACCCCCAGCCTGCTGGAGAGCAAATCTAGAGGTTACTGGCAGGGGCGGAGGAACTCCCTCTCGTGCTGGGGTCCTCAGGTAACCTGCTCACCGCTAACCAACCGCAAGGATGCTAGCAGGAGTGAACACACCGGGGGTCTCCAGGGCTCCACTTCCCCAGCGCTCAGGCCAGAACCCACTCGGGTCTTTTAGGAGATTCCGGGGGAATCCCCCACCCAATAGCCGAGCTCCTTGTTGTGGGTGGGGCTACACACGCAGCCAATCACATCCCCTGGCCACCGTGATTGGTCCAGTAGTGGGGCATGTGATCCAATCGGAGGACCCGTGGGACCCGTGGCTGGACACCAGGATCTGGAAAGACCTCCCAGACTCGAGAATGTAGCCCCCTCATGAGGGAGTGGGGCCCAGGCGCCGAGAGATGGAAGCTGTTGCTGTTTTAATTTGTTAAATCACACATAACAAAATTTGCCATCTTAAACATTTTTAAGTGCAGGGTGCAGGAGTGTTAAGGCCACTCACATTGCTGGGAAGACAGATCTTCAGAAAGTTTCCATCTTGCAAAACTGAAACGCTGTCCCCATGAAATAACACCTCCCCTTTCCCCCTCCCCCCAGCCCCTGGCACCCACCATTCCACTTTCTGTCTCTATGAATTTGACTCTCTAGGTACCTCAGGTAAGTGGAATCACACAGCATTTGTCTTTTGGTGACTGGCTTATTTCACTGAGCAGCAGGTCCTCAAGGTTCATCCTTGTAGCAGGTGTCAGAATCCCCTTCCTTTTTGTATACATCACATTTTGTTTATCCATTCAGTGGCAGAGGGCACTTGGGTTGTTTCCACTCTGACTATTGTGACCATGCTGCTGTGAACGTGGACGCGCACGCGGGGAAGCTCGCTTTGAGCCCTGGCTTGGGTGCCCTGAGCTGCTCAGCCCCATGAAGCTAGCTAGAGCAGCACAGAGCCCTAACCATAGGGTGTTTAAACGGGGGAGGAACCAGAGACTCGTGAATGCAGCAAAGACTCCAATCGGCTTTCTGGGCTCAAAAATAAAACTATAAAGCCTTTTGTTTTCTTTCTCAAGCTTGTTGATTGTGGATGGCTTTAGTTGGAAGGTTAAAGTTGATTTTTTTCTCGTTTGCCTGCTTGCTCTATAATAGGCAAGGTCAAGGTTTTCTCAGAAATTGCTGCCGGTAACTATAAGGAAATAGGCAGGGGTAAAGCAAACACAAAAAGACTCACATTAAAAAGCTGGTTCTGGGCTGTGCTCACATTAGAATGTACACAGAGCTTGGGGTCAAGGTCAGTTATCAACAAGTCTGTTTTTAGAAACTTTAGTTTAAAAATACATGCTAATGCCTTTTCTTGTTCTTCCCCCCCCCATTCTCTGACCATATGACATGTTGCATGTTTTTGTTTTGTTTTTGAGGGAGCATATGTGATGTTCCTGATTTCTTCCACACTCTCTCTAAAATAGCAGGTTGTCAACCACCTGGATTAACCATGACACACCCACTGCTGAATTTATATCAGCTTGAACAAACACCTGGCAATGATTTACTCAAGAAAACATAATCCATTTTTTTCAGATTATCTACTTGTTCTTTGTGTTATCTTTCCAATATTGATTTTAGCCCTGTAAAAGGTGCAGGCTGAATGGGACACTCTAAAGTAATCAAGGTAGTTTGGATACAGAGTGCCTACAGGACACACACATTCTGCCAGGAAGCCCTGGAAGCTGGGTAGAAAGTGAAATAGACCTTGCCCTTGGAAAGCCCGTCACAAGCTCTGTTGTTTGTAATTGCCGATACTTCTATGGCCATGAGCCACCATGTCGAGAAGGCACACATGTGCCGGAGACTGTGCTGTGCACTGAACATATGTGTTCTCATCTGATCGCCAGGATAATCTTGGAGGTGGGGAGGCATTTTTAGCCCCATGTTGTGGATTAAGAAACTGAAGCTCAGAGAGGTTAAGTGACTTGCCCAAGGTCCCACAGCCAGGAAGCAGTGATGCAGTTTGATTCTAACACCATGCTCTCAGAGCTTTGAGGTTATTCAAAGTCATGATTTTATACCTGCTTTCTATACCCACGAAAGAGTCTTAAATGATCGGTTAGTGAGGAATAGGAGATTTTCTGAGTTATAAGAAAGAAGGTAAAAAAGAAACGGTGCAAAGAACCACATGATGTTGCAAGGGGTACTTGGAAACAGGATTTTCTAGGAACACTGACAACTCTTTTATGGAAGTGTTATTCATATGGCACACGCTGGATGTGACTCAGAGGACACCAGCCTCCACCCAAGCAGGACGGGGGCATGTCCTCTGTACCAGAGGTGTGCTGGGGCCAGCCGCTACCAGCTCATGAGAGCCAGTTGCTGAATGCCCAGGAATTTCTTGAGCTGGTTGAGAGACACAGCCATTAATAAAAATCAAATTACATAAACATATAATTAAATGATATTAGAAACAAAGGTAACAGTTAAAACTCACTCTTCCTAATTATTTTACTATATTATTATCCATGCTCTTGAGGTTATTTAACTCTACATATGTGTGCGTTACCACGCGTCTCTCTGCATCTCTGTATTCAGTGAGGTCTCACTGGTCGCTTGACATTGGCCTTGATGGAAGTATTTATACCACAGAAATCGGGACATACTGTAAATCAGAGCTTGATCTTTTTTGTTTTGCTGATCATCTACACTTAAGGAGGTTCTGGTGAAAATGTTAACAATGTAAATTATATAAAAGCATGTTATGTCTAGAGCCATTAAATTATGAGTAGCATGTAAAATTGGTGAAATAGTTCTTGAGGAAGTATTCAAAAACTATTATCTGGTACAGCAAAGAGGTCATTGATAAACACGTGAAGTTCCAACATACATCTTTCTTGTTTCACTTTTGTCTTACTCGTGGATGCAAACAAAGATATCCACCCACGTTCAGGTTGGGAACACACTCTCTTGTCAGTCGTGAAGGTAAGTTGGCTGTGGGTGTGAGCATTCAGCCTGTCAGTGAAAGCACTCTGTGAGAGTCGATTGGCTATATGTAACTTACGATAAAGAGCAGTGTATATTTTATTATTATTTGTAGAGAATGTGTTACACATTCTCTCCATCAGTAAGCCTTACGCTCTACGTGCATACTTTACTTTTTCCAGAGAGCTGGTTGGTAAACATTTTCCAGTGGAGCATGGCTGTGCCCAGCACCCTGAACCGTGCCTGGGACGTGCTGCGGGTGTCGGCTGGCTGAA